GTGTATTGGGCTCTGGGTAAGACATGACAGGTATGTTGATGAGGAAAACTAGACCCTGAAAGAGCCCACAATCTAAAGAGAATTCACCATTTGCCATATAATCCCCTCAAGCAACAGGAAAGTTATGGCGGTGACACGGGCTATGGAAGAGGAGGTCTGTGGTACTTGGGGGGATGGAGGGGCAGATACCAGAGGAGATGGCCCAGCCCCAAGTGCCAGCCTCCAAATCTGACTCAGCTCTCCATCCCCCTCCCGCCCCCCATTCCCCCACCAATTCCAAGTCTCAGACCTTTACGGAGGGATTGCTCACTGGCTGTTTTTCTCTACCCATTGGAGCCAAATTGGCTTCCACCCTGTCTCTCTTCTAGGCGGCCCCCGCCCGAGGGTAGCTTAACAGCACTTCCTGCCCTGGGCTTCAGACATCCTTTTAGGTCTCCTGTGGCTTTCCTGAAAGGGTAGCGGATGCTTCTCTGCTGCTGGTGAGAGATTCAGACAAGCCACTTAATGACGAAAAGACTAGAAGCCTTCTCTAAGAGATGGGGAAGCCTTGATTACCAAGACAGACATGGAGGTCCTGACACCACTCATCGCCTATTTAGAGGGAAGAGGAGGAGGCTGGCCCTGGAGAGGAACAAAAACACTTGGGGGCAGTCGGGACTAAAGGAATGAGAGCATCTGGATTTCAAAACGAAGTTGCGGGATTCCTTGAGGCTGGCAATGGACACCAGTCAGGCACCCTCCCAAGTGGTGGTACTGATGCTACATTTTCCAGTGTGATTCCTCGGTCTTTATGGCTGGCAGGGAGGGACCCAAAGGCTATAACATTTAGAACAATCATCTCATCTTACAGCTTGAAGCCTAGAAATCTGAAAGCACATGCCCAAGCTCTCATGGCTGGTCAGTGGCCGAAGGATTAAAGTCCAAGGCTCCAGACTCGGGGTTCACTGCTTTTTCCCCCCGGGGAAGCACACAGACAAGAATTCTTTTCTATGCCTGGGGCTCATGTGAGCACATCAAAGAGAAGGAAATCTATAGTGAGCTGTTGCAAGAGCAACGGTGTGCTGTGGATGCGACTTACTGCCCAGACGCCTGGGCGCTGCAGCCAAGGGAGAGTGACAATGTCACATAGACAGTTGGCACCTGAGGACAGACTTCTCCAGGAGCCAACACCTTGGATCTCCCTACACTGGCCGCGGGTCTGCTCCTTCGAAACACTAGCCGGGACTTAAAGCCAGCTGCCACTGGGCTCAGATCCGCCCTATCAGCCCGTAGTCTAGCAGGAGGGCCAGGTCGGTCTCCACCAATTTTTGGACAGTGGTGACCTCTCCATCGCTGGAGAGCTCATCACCAGTCAGAAGCCCTAAGGCGGCCTCCCCTGACAGCAAGTGAGGAGGAAAGCAATAAAGTGTGAGCTGTTCCGCAGCCCCTGGTCAGCCTGGTTTTATTAAAGCCAAAGTCTTAAGCATCACTAATGAGGATAAAAGGCTGGCAGGGAGCACAGGATCTGGAGCTGAAACCTCCTGAGAAAGGGGGTGGGGCAGAGCCAGGACTGGCAAGGTAGCCCGAGGGTCCCAGCTGGGGCCCGAGCTTTCCAGAGAGGGAGGTGGCTGCCAGGTGCTGACTCTTTGTTTGCTTGGCCCCCGTCCCTCTATTTACTCAGAAGTAACCTATTTATTTTCATTTCTCGGATAAGCCAGTCCCCTGCAGTGTGTATGTGCAAGGGAACATCTCCCTTGACCCGCTGAGCCACGAGCAGCCAGTGAGCGGTCAGGCCCCACGAGGTTCAGTCACCCACCGCAAAAGGTCCTGGAACTAGCTGCTTGGCCTCCCTTTCCTCTCTTCTTGCAAGTCACGGGGGGATCTTAGCCCGTTGGCTTTCCCAGTGACGGAGAAGGAAGTTCACGGTTGAGAGCAAGGGCCCGAGTTGGGGTCAGGGGCTCCCACGGCATGCCGCTGACTTGGCACCCCACCTGCTCCCCAGCTGCCACAGTCCGGTCCAGAAAAGGCGCCCCTGCAGAAGAGGGGCACCTCCCGGGTTGGCAGTCCCCTGAAAGGAGCCGTCCTTAGGGGCAGTGCATAGAGCCCCAAGTGATTCCATTTACCCTGAGAGACCCCCGGTACCCCAGGCAGGTCTCCTAAGGCCATAATCAACTCAACTTGGACTCTCCCGAGCTGCACGGCCCTTAAAAGTGCCCCTTTGTATCGTAGAGAAGCCACTCCCTACAGAGGGGCCACAGGATTCCTTCTCGGGCGCATTGACATTGAGGACCACTCCTTCCAGGGCTCTCCTGGCTAAGACACAACCATCTATTTCTACGTGCATTCATGTAGCGCCTCTCATGCTTAGCCCAAAGCACGGATAGGCGTAAAGCAAAGCTTGCACCAGGTGCTAGTGGGAGGGCACGGCGGCAGCAGAGGGGGGACTTGGTAACGCCTTTGAGTGGCCCAGGGGCAGAAGGTGCTGCAGGGGTGTGGGGGGAGAGGTGCTCTCTGTGGGCTGGACCTTTGGTGAGGGCCCCTGCAAGATGCACAGGTTTGTCCGCATGAAGACAGGAAGGGACCACTTTTGGGGGGGGGGGGCATAGAAGAATAGGGAGAAATAACCAGGCAAAGAAGTAAGACAAGACCCCGTTGTTGAGGGTCCTTAGTGCAGGCTGAGAAGACGTGCTTTGATTCTGGAAGCAGAACAAGGGGAGCTACTGGGGGTGCTTGAGCAGCAGCACTGATCTGTGTGAATCTGGCACCAGGACTCTCACTGGCCATGTGACCTTGGGCAAGTTACTGAACTTCACCAAGCAGTCCTTTTCTGCCGCTTGCAGTGGGGACGATAGGAGCACATACCTCGTAAGGCTGTGGCAGGGCTTCCTGAGACCATCTGGCTTTGAAGGACGTGGCACATGGTCGGCAGGTGAGAGGGTTAGTTCTTGGTGCTGCCATGGGGTCGAAAAGGCTTCTCTAACTTTGGGCAGGAACGAACCGAGGAGGGTTGTAAGGGACATGAAGGGTGCTGGGGGCCCCCCCTTGTACCTCAGTGTGCCTTGGTCAGAGAAAGGACTTTCAGCCGGGTGCCCTGGGGACCTGCTGCAGGAGGGGACCGGCCATCACACTCCCTCTACACCCTGTCGCTCGACCATTTCCTGTGTCTCTCTTGCTCCCTGGACTAGAGGGCTAAGGGCCCAGGAGCCGCCCTGAGGGAGGTGGAGATCCCGGCACTTCTTCTGATTGGTGACACGCCCCTGGACCATGTGCGTGTGGAGGGGGGACTATGTGCTCTCCACAAAGCTCGGTGCCTCCATCAGGTTCTCAGCCCACAGGAGCCGACAAGTGAACAGGTGCAGGAAGCTGTGGTATAAGGTCCAGAGGGGCCGGGGTTACCCTGAGGTGCTCCCTCAGTGAGCTGGCAGGTGCTCCAGCATGGAGTGTGAGGAGCACTCTCCTAAGAGTTAGGAGTCCAGCTGCATCTCCCGCCAGCGGTATAAGCCTGGCCGGCAGAGCTCTGAGAAGGGAGTTTGAACCCTGAGTGCTCCGCCTGCGAAGTAGGGTTGGTGACAGCACTCCCTGCCTGCTTGCAGAGGTCCTGCAGACCCGGGAGCTGGTGGCTGTGGGTCTGGGGTCGCCGGCTCTGTGGCATCACAGGCTCTGTGTGCTGGAGGGGGTCCTGCCCCTACGAGGTGTCCGGCTCTGCCCCAGCCAGACCCCCCTTCTGCCACTCTGGGATTTAATTGTGGGGTGAGTAAAAATACCAAGACGAATCTTGGGCCAGGGCAAGGCTCCATCTGGAGGAGAGCTGGGGCCACATGCTAGGGAAGGGGTGGGAGTGTCTGGATTATTCTCCAGTCTGGGCCAGGTGCCCTTCGCCCGAGTAAAAATGTAAGCTCCATCAGGGCAGGGCTTTTTGTGTATTTTGGTCTTTCCCAGAACAACACCCAGCACACAGCAGGTGCTCAGTGAACATTTGTTGACTGAACGGATGCCTGAAGGAACAGATGGCCCCATCTGAAATCCAAGCCCCCCACCCCCCCGCAAACCCTGCCTTCTTCCTCTTCCACCTGGGGTCCCTGGGGCAGCAGGCCAGCCTCAGGGGCTGAGGGGAGGTTTCAGAGCAGCAGCATTCTCCTTCATCAAGTTCGGGGGTGGGGGAGGGAGGAAGAAGAGGAAGCAGTCCAGGAAAGAGCGATGTAACTGACATACAGACATCTTTACCCTGTTTGAAGTTTTCCTGTTCCCTGTTGCTCAGAAACTTCCTAGAATTGGGGCCTCTAGGAGACACAGCACTGTGTACTCTTTGCTGGGGTCATTTTTGAAGGTTGACCACATTTAAGGGGAAAGGACAAGGGGGATCCAAGACCGGGCACAAATGAGATGTAGAGTTGTATATCTCCTTGGTCTGCAGCGTGGCCGGAGTGAGGTCACGATCCCTAGTGTGTCCACACTGAGGCCTGGAGGCGACAGAGCTGGAGGTTCTCCAGGGAGGCGAGGAAGCAGAGGGACTGGTGAGAAACAACCGAGCCAAGCGCAGGAAGCAGACCTGCTGGGAGAGAGCTCTGGATGGCCGGGGTGTGTCTGGTGCACGGTCACGACCACGAGCCCGGCAAGGGGCTGGGGTGTGGAGTGAAGGGGACCAGTGGCTCAGAAGGGCGAGCTGGAAGGGAATAGGACCGGGCCACAAAGGGGGCTGCTGGTCCCGGGGCTGCAGCCAAGGGAGGTGGGGAGGGGACGCATGCAGGGCAAGTCAGCACAGAGCAGGTCCGTGAAGACCGGGACCAGAATCTGAGCAGAGTTCGGAAGGAACAATGAAGGGAGCAAATTGTACTGAAGAGGCAATATCATGATCATTGACTTTAATTCCCAGCTACTCCCGGCATGGAGACCAGATCCTTGGGTCCAAAAGACATGGCACTCTGCCCCAAAGGGCATTCTCCTGGGCCCCAGAGTGGCCCGTGGCAGCTGCCCAGGGACCTGTGTCCCCCTCATCTGCCCTCTTGTCTGCTTCTTTGCAGGAAAGCGTGGATCTGGGAGAGATCATGTTCTCGCTGTGCTACCTGCCCACAGCAGGCAGGCTCACGCTCACAGTGATCAAATGTCGGAATCTCAAGGCGATGGACATTACAGGCTATTCAGGTACCTGTCCTACCCAAGCAGCTCGCCATGTGGCCTTCCAGCCACCCAGACATTAAGACTTGGAAAAATGTTAGAGAGAAGGGAGAAGTCGGTGTTCGTTTTTTTCTTTGAATGTTTATTTTTGAGAGAGAGACAGAGCACAATTGGGGAGGGTCAGAGAGAGAGGGAGACACAGAATCTGAAACAAGCTCCAGGCTCTGAACTGTCAGCACAGAGCTCGACCCGGGGCTCGAACCCACGAACCGTGAGATCATGACCTGAGACAAAGTCAGAAGCTTAACCGACTGAACCACCAAGGCACCCTGGGAAAAAATTACTTTAATACTTATTTTTTTGAAGTTTCCTGTTTTTTTTAATTTTTTAATGTTTTATTATTTATTTCTAAGAGAGAGAGAGAGCACGAGCGTGAACAGGGGAGGGGCAGTGAGAGAGGGAGACACAGAATCCGAAATAGGCTCCAGGCTCTGAGCTGTCAGCATAGAGCCCAACGCGGGGCTCAAACCCATGAACCATGAGATCATGACCTGAGCCAAAGTCGGATGCTCTACCGACTGAGCCCCCCAGGCGCCCCAAAACTATCAGTGCTGTTAGAAGGGGAACCCCAGCTCTGGACTCAAATTCCAGTTCTGCCACTCCCTTGCCATGTAATGCTTTGATGTTCTAATCTGAAAAAAGAACATAGAGTTTGCTTTAAGGATAAATGCATTGATTCATTTAAGTCCTTACACTTGTGCCAGACACAAAATAAGCACTCAGTAGATATTAGCGACTCCTATCATTCTTCCCCTCAGAAGAAGCAGAGAATAAGAAGTAAATACAATAGGAGAAAAGAAAATAAGGAAAATCTTTCCAGTGATAGGAGGCCCCAGGACTTTTAAGGGTTATGTCAAGTTTGAGTGTGTAAATGTTTGGAGGTCCGCACAGCCCTGTGGCAGCCCCCCAGACTTACTTAGTTAAAGGAGTGAAGCCACTGAAAAGCAAAGTGCATTTGTATTTGAGTTTTTCCTGCAGGGCTCCTGGCCCCGCCCAGCCCCAGTGCCAGGAGAGCCGCTAAGGACAGCAGGAAGCGTGAGCGTGGGCCGAGGAAGTGCTTGCTTAGGGCAGCTATAGAGACTGATCCTTTCCCATGGCAACGTTGTTGTCAGAGAAGGTATTTGAGTTTTGATAAAACAGAGGAGTAGCGTGGGTCCCAGGAGCCTCCTTCCTGCTGTCTGCTCAAATCAGCCCGAGAAGCGAAATGGGGTGAAGTGTCCCAAAGAGCAGACTTACAGAACAGCCTGGGCTGTGTGCAGAGCTACAAATGAAGGAAAAGCCTTGTTTTCCAAGACCCATCACCCAAGAGGCTCTTGTGATGAATCAGGTTTCCAGTGGAAAACCACCGCAGACGTGCCTCTGAGCCTGGGTGGTAGATACGAAAGGTAATGGAAGATTTTTCCTTTTATCCATTCATGACTTAGTTCCTGGAAAACTCCTTGGTGTTGTCTCAGGTGCCGTACGGAGGGGGCGGTCCAGCCGCAGACATCTGGGCCCAGGTGCAACCTTGGTGTAAGTGGAAGAAGATGAGGTATTAGACCCCGAAAGATGAGGCTTGGGGGGAGACGGTTGGAAGACGCTGAAGTAATGTGTGCGTCTTGCCTCCCTGAATCCTTTGGAGCCTCTGCTCCCAGCCTCCACTGTCTCTGTGTGACACTCGTGTCTTCCAGACCAAAAGCTCTCCAAGATGGCTCCCACCCTAATGCCTCTCCTTCCCCTGCATTTCAGGGGGGGTCGTGGTGAGGAACTTAAGGAGCCTCTCCCGATATGTGTAAAGCTCTTAGGCCCCAGCAAGTCAGCTTCCTTCCAAAAATACAGCTAATGTAGATTTCATTTTAATATCAAAATAAGTGCATGCCAGGGACAGGAATTCACCGAGGACTCTCTCCAGGCTGCTGAGGGAAATAGGATTTTGCTGCCTAAGTCCCCACACTATCTTCTCGGGTGTAATTAAATCGATGTGCTAGAGAGAGAGAGCTTATGCTGAAGCCACTGAGGTAATCAGAACGGCCGTTCCACATCAGAGGGTTGTGGGGGAGAGATTTTTTTCTCATGCCAAATTCTAATCTCCCTCTTGCAACTGACCCTCTTTTCCACCTGGGATTGGAAGCTGGGAATTGAATCTCCACTTGACTGAAAATTCAGGGGTCCTCTTTCTGTCGGGGATTTCTGTCTGTTTGGTTCACAGATATAAGCAAAGGTCTGGAACGGCCCACGGCAACACAATAGGTGTTGAATAAATACTTTTTGAATGAGTGACTGAATGAATATGTAGCATGGGGAACGTTGTCAGAGGGTGATACCGTGGGGGTGTATGTGCCCGGGGCCTCTGAACCTAGATCTCCTGTTTTTGAGGATGACTTTGAGGTTGCCTTCAGCCCAGACTGCTTTGATATGGGACTAAGCCAGGGGGCAAATGGAGCTTTTTGCCTGTTCTTGATTTCTGTAACATTGACCCCTGAGCCCACAGGTCTTCCTAGTCCCCTTGATTTAATTAATCATGAACCAATTCTCCACCATCCACTGGAATGATGACAATGAAAATAACACAAAATAATAAGGGTCCAGATGCCACAAAACCCACCCATCTCCGCCACATCCAGGTGGTACTGATTTGAGTCTGGTGGTTTAAAGCGTTAGATTTTGGAGACAGACAGAGCTAGGTTCAAATTGGAGGCAAGTTCCTTAATCTGTCTGGCCTCAATATCCCTACCTATAAAAGGGGATGATGACGATAAATATTTTATAGGGGCCAGGGGGAAGTTTAAAAGACATGATGTACATAAATCTCCGCACAGTGCTTGGTACATACTAAATGGTGAATTATGATGTCTCTCAGGACAACGAGGCCGAAATACACTGCCAGGCTTTGTGCCCCCTCCCTCGCCGCACGGAACATCAGAGGCTGTTAGAGAAGAAACAACATCTAAGGCCATGTGGAGGCAGCACTCCACTAGAAGCCACAGACTTTTGCCCCAGAGGATCCAAAGGAATGGTCATCTCCCTGCTTAGCCTCTTGGACAATCATAAGATCGATGGGTTCTTCAAGGGAAATACACCCACTGAAATTTATAAATGGATAGTCCTTGGGGGAGTAAACAGAGTTGGGGAAGGAAGCTGAGAATCTCCCGGTCAGTAATAGGCATTGGCCTGGTGGCCATTGGGACAGGTGGCCCTGCCGTATTTTTCCAAGCCTGGTGACATGGGAATCTGTTGGGCTCTAGGGGTGCATGCAAGTGGAGCCAGCCCTTGAGCAGCCTCAAGCCTGAAGACACTTTCCAAAGCAGTGTACACCTTTTGCAGTGTAGGTAGGTATGGGAACAGGCTTTCCCACCTGACCGCCTGAACCTGAGCACTGTCCCGGGCACCTCCCTAGAGAACAGAGCCCACAGAAACCAGAAAGCTCTCTCACAGAGATTCTTTGTGAGAACCCCCACCCCCACCCCAGCAATGCCCAGGGTGCATGAGGGCCTGGTGGATGCTCAGGTACCCAAGAGACAGAACCGCATGCCCGTGCATCAAGGCACCAGGAGGTGGCTGGTTGGCCCACAGCCACTGACAGATTCACATGAACCCTGGCTTCTGGGCAAGGAGGTGTCTCAGCACATCAGCGTCTCAACAGCTGTTATTACCTGTGAGTCGCCCTCCCATTTCTTCAGCCATGCGGCATAAATAACAATTATGATGGCGTCTGAGACACCTGTGCTAGGAGATACAATAGGTGTCACTTCGCTTGGATGAGTGGAAAATTTCAGGGTAGAAGGATGACCACAAAATACCTATTCAGGGAACTAAAGGAAAGACAGGGATGGGAGACACATGGACGCTCAGTAAAAAGACATCTCCTCTGGGGATGGAGAGAATCCAAGATCCCCCTGAGAAATGAAATGTCAGCTGGCTGCCCTGATTCTCAGGAAGCCGCCTTGTTCACGGCCCCCGCCACAGCCCCACCCTCCTCCTCTGCCTAGAAGTGGGCAGGAAACGGCTTCCCAGGGAAGCAGAGAGCAAGGCCTTTCTTGATACCAACTGGAAACGAGCTCCTTGGGACAATGAGACCCATAATCCCGTTGTCAGGTGGGGAGGACAGGACGAGCATTGTGATTGTCGCTGTTCATTTACTCTGACGTGCTGCTACTCCTTGGGTGTCATCGACTCTATTTTTACCCCCTTATCCTTTGGTTAATACTGCTGACAAACCCCCGGAGGAAAGGACTCCAAGTAGGTGAAAGGAACTGAGTGCCTTGTTCAGCTTCACCACCCTCTGGAGCCAGCTGGCCATCTTGGAGCGGAGATTTAGGGCCGTGATCCACATACCCATGGGCAGGTGTCCTGTCTGATTTGAGGCCAGCTTCACCATTAGTGAAAGTCCATTAGGCACTCTCCCAATAATCCTGAGGTCGCTAGACTCTGTGTTTATTAAGCACGAAGTGTCCTCAGAGACAGGTGTGCTACATAAATACAAGGTGGTTTAATTATCCTAACAACCCACTGATACCATCTGATGAGCGACAGTAGGTCTGTGGCTTCCGTCCCTCTGCTGCAAATTATGTTCCAGGACATCTGGTTAACATGCTCCCTTCCCTTCCCATCACCCCCGCTGGCACAGATCCATATGTCAAAGTGTCCCTGCTTTGTGACGGGCGGAGACTGAAGAAGAAGAAAACCACCATAAAAAAGAACACTCTCAATCCTGTCTACAATGAAGCCATCATCTTTGACATTCCCCCAGAGAACATGGATCAAGTCAGCCTGCTCATCTCGGTTATGGATTACGACCGGTAGGTGCTGGTCCCAGAGGGCCATGTGTACCCGCCCTTCACGCCCGCACCAGTGCAGCACAGGGTTTCCCGACCTTGGACCCTGTGGTTCAGGGCTCAGGGGCCCATTGGCCTCAAATTTGCCTCCACCCAAGAAGGGGGCAGAAGTTTGAGGAAGAGCATGGATTCCCCTGAGCAGAAGCTCAAGTTTGGCTTCACAGCAGGCCCGTTTCTGTCAGGGGCCAATCCACCCATCAGTTTTCCCAAATTTGCCCCTGACTACTCCTGTTCCCCCATCTGCCACCAAGTCCTGGCATCTGTCCTCTAAAATGTCTCTCTGTCCTTTCCATTTCTGATGCTGCTACCACTTCCACTCGGGGATGGCTGTGCAGCGTCTCAGCTGATCCCTGCCCCTGTCACTCCCTGGCTCACTAGAAGCACACTCTCCTAAAGGACCACTTTCTTTGGGACCTACCCTTCTCAAGAACCATCAATGGCTCCTGTTACCCAGGCTCTATGCTTCTCAAGGCCTTCCAGAATCTAGACCCCACATGTCCATCCAACTTAATTTCCCCTTCTTTGGATGTATTTCTTCTCTTCCGCTTATCCAGACCCTCTTTTCCCTCAGCTGGATCAAAAGCGTTTTCCAGCCACCCTAGCCACCATGACACCTTCTCTCCGGGTGTCACTCCAGCTGAAGGAGAGAAGAAAAAATGCAGTAGCCCTCCGTCTGCAATTTTTAGCACAAGCTCTCGGGCATACTAGGTGCTCGCTGAACACAGCTGAGTGGTGATGGATGTTCTTGCTGAGTGAATAAATCACGTTCTAGCCTTTGTGGGTATGGAGGAAGAGTACTTCGAGCGGGGTGATTTATTTCCACATGCTGATATCTCAAGCAAGGCTGTGATGTGCTAGCTGCGTCCAATAAGGGACAAGACTTAAACCCTCCCATTGCCTAAGGTCAGGCCATCTGCCCACCATTTCCTGTAATTCCAAAGCAGTTTGTAACCTTCTCTCATCGGTCTGTGTCAGTGTCCCCCCAAGGAGGGTGGGCAAAGTGGGCACTCCGAGCCCCTGCCGAGCATCTGTTTTCAGAGCCCGGCATTCTGAGTTGGACCTGCCAGGCAGAATCCCAGACCCCAGGAGCTCCCGTCTGGCAGCGTGTCTGGTCACCAGCGCCAGGCCCTCTGTTTCTCCTTCAGAGTGGGCCACAATGAGATCATAGGAGTCTGTCGCGTGGGGACCAATGCCGAAGGCCTGGGCAGGGACCACTGGAATGAGATGCTGGCATACCCACGGAAGCCCATCGCCCACTGGCACTCCTTGGTGGAGGTAAAGAAATCCTTCAAAGAGGTGGGTGAGGTCGCGCTTGGCCCTTGGCATGTCTGCTGCATGGCAGCGCGGGCTGGAGAATGGCAGTTGGCGGCTGTACGACCTCGCCTTCCTGGGTCCTTCCTGGGGTGTGCGGGGGGCTACGCGCTTCTCACCCAGTGCGTAACAGGCAGGAAGGAAATGGAGGAGGACAGTGGGAAGCTGCCTGACAAAAAGCCTCTGATGTCAAGCATATTGAAAGTGACACTGAGTTCTAAATGGAAAATTAAAATGTAGAGGAAGTCTTCCCAGCAGCTCAGCTGCGCCAGGCCCAGAACACTTTCACAAAGCCCCCGGGGCCACATCAGTCCTTTGGGGGAAAGCCCCAAGAGGGTGAGATCAGCACTAGGTTCCCTGAGGCTCTAGCTAGGGGGTCCCAAGGCAGTCTTCACTGCCTGGGCGCCGATGGCCAGAGGGAAGGTCTTGCTGCCATCAGTGCTTGTTCTCCCATTGTTGGGGACAGAGTACGGCTTCAAGGTGGCACGCTGTGTGACTGGATCGTAACACGGATGTAATGGAGTCCTGAGCCCTGGGCTCCGATCTTGGCCCCTTCACACTTGCTATATAATCTTGAGCCAATCATTTCTCCCAACTGCAAAGAAACTGTCCCTTCCGGTGACATTTACAGTTGGCTTCCCCTCCGCCAAACTCCACCAATGTAAGATCCCACGATGTGTTATCCTGGGGGCTCCCAGGCCTGCTTTTTCTCAAATGGGTTGGGAGGTGGGGCTTGCCAGGTGAGCTTTAAACTTCATTTTGAGTATCTCATACTCCATCCCATATTCAAAAACCTGGGTGATTGTTTGTTCTTTCTAGCCTTCAAGTCTAAGAAGTCTAGAGTATAAAATTGGAAAATCTACTCATAAAAAAAAAAAAAGCTTTAATCGTGATGCCACATGGCCCCTCAGCTGAAAAGCAGTCACCTTAAAAACAGTACAGTTGACCTTTGAACAACACGGTTGGAACTGTGCGGGTCCACTTAGGTGTGGATTTTTTAAAACGTAAAACCAGTACAGTACTGTAAATGTATTTACTCTCCCTGATGGCTTTATTAAAAAAATTTTTTTAATGTTTATTTATTTTCGAGAGAGACAGAGAGGCAGAGAGCAAGCAGGGGAGGGGGCAAGAGAGAGGGAGACACAGAATCTGAAGCAGGTTCCAGGCTCTGAGCTGGCTGTCAGCACGGAGCTCGATGCGGGGCTCGAACTCATAAACCACAAAAAACGACCTGAGCTGAAGTCAGACGCTCAACCAACTGAGCCACCCCAGCACCGCACCCTCATGACATCCTTAACATTTTCTAATAAGCTTACCTTATTATAAGAATACAGTGTAGAATTCCTATAACTTACAAAATATGTGTTAATTGACTTTATGTTATCGGCAAGGCTTCCAGTCAGCAGTTCGTGATTAGTTAAGATTAGGAGGAGGAAAAGCGATACTCAGAGTTTTGACTGTGTGGAGGGTCAGTGCCCCTAATCCTAATGTTGTTCAAGGGTCAACTGTAATCCCTTCTTTAGGCTCTGCCACATGGGAAAGGTGTGGGAGGCAAACCCAGAGGACCTCCCAGCTCCCCTTTCTTTTTGGGGTGTTCCCACCTATTTCCAGCAGTGTGAGTTGTCTTGAGAGACTGAGAGCTGAGGGGATTTGGACGTGTGGAATCCTGTGAGGGATAGAAGGTTCTAGAAGCCAGTCTAATTGATTTACCTACTCAGCTAGGCATGCCTTCAAGGCCAGCATGGAGAAGTAGGTCATAGACACAAAGTTCCTGGTCCTCTGAGGCCTCATGTTTCTGCCTTGTTGGTTGCCTCAATTCTACCAGAGGCATGAAGCTTGAATGACAGAGGCCAGTCCCATCCCTAGCTCTCCAGCTCCTTCCCCCAGGGGAGCTTCTGCCCCCTCTTATCCAGAAAGCTTTCTTTGCAGGGTGTGGGCGAGGCACCCACGACCAGCCTCTGCCTACTCAGGAGGCAGCTCCTAGACAGAATGGTAGGTGCCTAGAGACTTGAATGCAGGGGTGATTCAATCAAGGGAGGGTGCCCTGCCCCCTCTTCCCTTTTTGAACCCACTGGAGATACGTTAAGAGTAGAATAAGTACATTGGAGTGTTCGGGATGGTTTAGGGGCAGGGACACGCAAGCAGCCACTGCCTCTTCTGGTCTCCCGTTTCCTGGTAAATGAGGCGGTAGGCTCCCGTCATCTCTGCTCTTCTGGAAACTCTGACCCTTAAATGATGAATAGCAGAGGCAGTGAGCCCTCAGGGTGCATCACCTCAGAGAGAGGACCAGCTGGTCTGGCCATGCCAACCGAAGCAACCGGCCAGCAGCGGCTGGAGTTGAGGGTGGGTGCCGAGTGGCACGGACTGCCGCGACTCGGTTCCAGAATCACTCCGTGATGAATGCCACCTAATTAAGCCAAATAATTGATTCCAAGTCCCATTTCTTTGAAAACTCTGACTCACTAGTCCAGACTGCAAACGAAAGAAAGATAAAGTAGAATCAAGCCCTTGAAAATGAATATTTGATGAGACAGTAAAGGGAAAGTAACAGTATATGGAAAACGAAAAGAGATTAAATTGATTCCTATCCTTTGGGCTTACTTTTTTCCTGACCTCACACACCAAGCTCCCTAGACCGCCCCTCCTCCACTCATTATCCTACCCTTTTCCACTCAGCTGATCAGTTCTCTGTATGAAGAAGCTGCAAATGACATTCATCTTGGCAACTTAGGGTTTCACCTACACTTTGAGCACCCACAGTTTAAGAATCTTTAAAAAAATGCGTCTAGAAACCTACCAGGCGGATAGGAGGTAAACCCTTTTTGGGCTCACATGATGCATTGTACTTGAACGTTTATCCCCCTCGATCATGCCTTAGGGGTCCCGGCTCACATCCTCAGTTCTGTGCTGGACATTGAGCAAGAACCTTGCTCCTGGTTCCTGTTTCTCCCGTTTGTACAGCACATAAAGAAATCTTATTCCCCAGCTCCTGGGAAGATAAATGGTATCGTACCTGTAAAGCGCTCTCTATTTATATTGTACCTTTCTTCGAGGAGTTTCAAGTGCTGTGATCATTTCTTTTTTATTAATGAGAACAGAAGGCCCCATTCTTGCTCCCTTGTTTAGGGTTTTCAAATAAGGTCGAGGGGAACAAATTAACTGAAAAGGTACTTTTCCCCGCTGGGATGTCTTCGTGAGAAGAAGTTGATTAAGCCACCATGAGCCTCCCTCTCCGGCAGCGGCCATGGCCCTCTTCCCTCTCAGCACTCCTGCCCCGTGCCACGTTTCATTGCTGTCACCATGCACAGAGTCCGGCTTGACCAGCAGCCTCCTCCAGGGCATTCTATCGTGGAGCCCCAAGTTTAGAGCAGCTTCCAGAGATTTCAGATCTCTGTTGGAGCGTGACCCATTTCAGAGCAATAAACACAGCCGCCGGGGGCGGGGGGCCAGTTCTTTGCTATTTCACAGCCACCATGCTGAGCCTGCTGGGATTATTCACCTCCCCATTGTCCACGAATGCATCTCCCTTCTCTGTTTATCTTCATAGAAAGAAACCGGGGACTGGCAGGTGGCGGGGGGGGGGGAGGAGGGGGCGGTCAGTGCAGTGCACCTTCTTCATCTGTCCCGGATTAACAATTACGCTCCTGTGACTTCTCTTTGGGCTATTATATAGAGCAAAAGAGATACTCTGTGAAGCTACTTCATTTTTTTTCTCCTCTGAACTGGCCTATCAATCAGACTGTTTAGGTGGCATGCTTCCCCAGGGAAGAAGCCAGCGACTACAGTGTACCTTTCACCCACATTAAAGGTCCTACCATAAAAAAGCCCAGTTCCTAAAACAAAGGCGAGTCGAATGCAAACAGTAGCAATCATCCTGTGTCACCTCCTAGTTAGGGAACCCTTGAGTCAGAGGTCACAGTGGGCTCAACAACCAGGCGTTTATTTATTTGAAATATTTCACCAGGGAAACCCTCGGTTGTGATTTCATTCACGTGGATGCTGCACGCAGAGAGACTACCACCCGGAGTTAGGAGTAAGTACCTGGTGTGGACCCAAAGAGGTTAGGTTTCTTCTCACACTTTGCATCTCCTTCTTCCCCTGATTCGGCCAGATGCTCAGGCGGCGGCGGAATGGAGCAGGAAGAAGGCCGCGCTGGGAATTAGGGGTCCTGGCTTCACATCCTGGCTCTGCCCCTAACTAGCTGTGTCTTGACTTCTGTCTTCGTTCTGTTGTCCGTGAGAACGAGATTGCTGACCTGATGATCCCCTGGGCCCGCCTCCAGGTCAAGCAGGCTAAGATCGCTCGGATCTAGGGCACACAGTGGTGGTCATCAGTACCGGATTGTCCGGTATTTGGCTAGTTGTGAGGGTCTGCTGATCGGCCTGCACAGGAAGCACTAGGGGACCGAGCCCAGGAAAGGTGGCAGAGGCCTTGTGTAGAATTAGGAGCATGGAGGTGCTCCAGTGGCCTGGATCTCTCCTCAGCACGGTGGGTTTCCAGAAGGAAATGCTGGCTGGCAAATGGTCTGCTCCTTAGGGGGCTCAGCTCTGTCTAGAAATGGCTGTGCTGTGGGGAGAACTGCATCCTTCCCCCTCCCACCCCCATTCATGCACAAATGATAACATAGCTTCTACTTGGCCCATCATTCCATGGTGGAGACCCCCAAAGTTCGGGGGAAGTGGAAGGGCTGTACTTCAGTTCTGAAGGGTCATCTCCACCACCGCCCTGACTCTCTGGAGCTGTATCCCACGGGCACCTGGGAGAGGTCTGGGCCCCCCCCCCCCCCAGCTCATAAGAAGGATGGCATGAGCAGTGGACCCTGCCTCACTTTGAAGTTACACAGCCTCAAGACGGGTCAAGAATATGCCCGGGGTCAGTTCTTTGCCCAGAATGCATTGCTCCAGCATGACTGGCTTTTCAGTGTAAGGAAGGGTCGAAAGGCTCAGGCGGCCATCCATCCATCCTCAGTCCCAACTTCTTCACTCCATGATGCCCCATTACATCACCCACTTTGACAGCAGGGTCAAGGTGGGTCTGAAAGGGGGCATCCTGTGAGATGACAGAAGGAAGGAGATGCCGCAGAAAGGGGAGCAGGGCTGCCCCCCTCACACCCCTACCTCCTCACAAGGTGGGTGTGAATGCTCATAGGAAGCATTAGGCCTAAGAAAGAGAGCACAGAGCTAAAGCAATATCAGGTCTGTAGCTGTACTAACAGCTCCCAGACAAATTGCTAATAATTCATGATCGTGGGTTCTTGGCAGTAAGGGCATACTCTGTGGACTGCCTCTTTCGCTGCTAACATAATCCGATTTTCAGTGTGAAAAATGGCTGAAGCACTCAGAAATGGCCCAGTCATAGCACCTCATTAACGCACACGCACACGCACACGCACCGCACACAGTGGAGAGAGCTTTAATTATCTCTGCAGTAGGTCTTTTTTTAAAAATCAGGTATTCCAAACTAGAAGCCCTACAGCTCTTTCCCTTCTGTTTTTGCATGGCTCACAGCAAAATTCCAGAAAGCTTATGAAAAGCCGGGAAAGGTGAATTCAGTGCATGGGCCAGAGAAGTTTTGAAAGTTGAAATGCAAACCCCCTTGGCGATCAATAACCAGCCTTCTCCCCTCTCTGCAGTGGCAGGACCGGGCTGCCAGCTTTGACAGCGAGAGCTCGTGCCCGTCCCCAAAACCACCTCCCACACCATGAGCTGCACGGTTGGGCGACACCGAGGGGACTCAGCGGCATTCCTTTTTGCACCTGTTCAACCGTCCAAACACAGTGTTACACAGGAGCAGCGGCAGCCGTAGCACGAGTCTTAACCGCTCCTGTGTAGGTCAAGGCCAAGACATTTGTCGAGTGGCCAGACCTGTCTTAGTCTTCTTTGTCTCCCAAGGTGATGTTTTCTGTGGTTTTCACTTTTTATGGATCTGCTGCCAAGAAAAGAAGGGGGGAAAATCGTTGGAAAGAAAGAAGAGCAGAGAACCCAGAGGCTGGTTCATAGAAAATACAGTGTAAAATAGTCATCTTTTCGGGGGAGGTGGTTTGAGTTCCTGAAGCTTCGTGTCTCCACCAAGCTCCACAATCCTGGACAAGAAGGAAGCCGACTGGAGGAATGGCTGCTTCTGCAGAGGCCTGCTGAAGCGTGCAGACGGGGCCACGAGCCTTTACAAGGCTAGTTATGACCCTTGGAAGCTCTTCGCTGATGTGACGCAGATGGAGATGAAGACTCCTGGTCCTGCGCTGAAATCGCCGGGGCTCTCAGGTGTCTGTGCGCCTTCTGCTGTTGTGAGGATCCCTTCCCCCATTTCCTTGTTGACTTTCCCCATGCATTGAAATAAATTGTCTTGATCCCTCATGGGAACTTAGCCACTTTCTTTAGGAATGACTCTGCCAACACTGACAATGTCCTATGTGTCCTGACACCCACGGTTAATGACCACAGTTGTTTGAAAACAGGATCTTTGTTCTCCGAAAGAAACTTCGTGGTACAGAAAAGAAGGCACCCATGTTCCAGAATGACTTCCGTGTTGTACATAGCTTTAAAATTCCATGACGTGTCAAGCAACTGTTTCAAATGCCTGCATAAGATCAAAGAAGAACCCGGATAAATTGGTTCTCTGGGGGAATGTGGAGTTTTAATCCAGGTCCGAGCTGGAATCCATCTTTCTCTGAACAGAATCTTCTTGATTGAAACAAAGTCACCTTAAGCATATTTCAGCCCCCCTTGACTCTGGGACAATGTTCATCTTCAACTTTAGTTCTATAAATTACTAAGTACTTCAGTGTTTGTTTCAGTGGTAGTGAAGGTTTTGGGTTTTTTTCTCCTTTAGACCTCTACCTTAGGCCAAATTCAGTTTAGGAAAAAATAACGTTTCAAGTGTTCTGCATTGTTATAGTACGTTTTTGTTGAGTTTCTAGTGGTCTTCCCATGAACCCCCCTATAGCTCAGTTGGTTTGCTTAATCTCAGTCTGTATAGCCCTGGTAAATTCATGGTGATGAGTTGCCACTGTATCTTGTGACTACACAATGCCAACTTCCAGAGTTGTGTGTGTGTTGACCTGCAAGAGGCGGGTCTGAGGAAGGATCCCCTTCTGCCAATGGAAGGTCAAGAATGGAAAAGCTACTCACACACCTTGTGTCTTATTCTTTGTATATGTCACGTGCTTTAGGAGCAGAAACTCAATAAAGTAACCCTCACTTTAAGCCAAGCATTCAGGTTTCTCTGCTGATATAACTTTGGGCAGTGTCCTCTACCCAAAGTTCAGCCCGGGCACGAGGGTGACCAGGATATTGTGGCCAGAGAAGTCTTCCGCTTAGAAAAGTAAAGGCAGATAAACCCAAACTCTACTCGGTACTGAGTCTCGGGGCTTGGAGCTAATGGGCGTCAATGGTATAAAGATAAGCTTTCTCCCCAAATGTCTTGTGATTGATAGGCCATCCTAGGAGGCCACTACTGCGGCTGGATGTCCTTTCGAGAGCGAGAACCCGAAGTCATGGCAAGACTCCCAGCAGGCCATAAACTTCATTCTGTCTCTTGAGTTTAGACTGACTCCTTCAAGATGGCCGTCTCAATCACTGAGCGGATGCTGTGGGCCCCGCAACCAGAAAGGGGACTGCTGAGTTTCCTGGGTGGCCACCCAGCCATTAGTGTGAAAGGATCCTTCCAGAAGTGAGCGCAAAACACATGTCCAGCTGCCATCCTCGTAACCCTTAGACACGTGAGGATGATCCTGGGGCCTTTTGGAGGAGGGAGCATGATCGGTGTTAGTGTGAATGGTGGAATAGTTGCTGCTCTCAGACGTCCCTTTTATGTCCAGCCAACCCGCACAAGTGAGCCTCCCAGGGGGTCTGGGAGAGCATTTCCTGAGCAGAGTACGGTCTGCCCCACACCACCGACCCAGGTCCCACTTCCACGGTGGCAGCCTTGGTGAGTTTCTACAGGCTGGGAAGCCTAGCCTAGGGAGGCTCTCGGCAGCAGAAACCTCGCTTCCAGCGGCTTCTGGGGAGACTAGTCCTCAACCCACAGCATGAATGAACCTGAATGTCTGCCCACGTCATTATCTAGCCCAATACCTCTTCCTCGTGGATGAGAATAAAATGAATTAGAAGTTTCAGAATGAAATGAAATACAAAGTTGATTCATGTGTTCACTTCTCTGCCCCGAGAAACCTCCTTCCTGGCTTGGCGTTTTGAGCTTTGCTCAAGTCATGGTAACCAGGGCCTTTTGCATATCGATGTGTTGTTGTTTTTTTAAAAAACCGCCAAGTTCCCTCCTTTATTCATCAGTGTTTCTGGGCTGAGAGCTGCCTCTCCCCACTTCCTTCGCATACTCAGGATGTTAATTAATTGCATCGTCATTGAAAAAAATTATGTTGTTAATTACAGCTTCATGTCTCTCCGCCCCTGTCACAGCCTGGAGTTTTTATTCAATTAAATCGCTGTCTCTCCCCCATTTCTCTTGTCATTGTATGTTCCTGAGGCTTAGCGGGCCACATACACATAGGACACTGCAGAGCTTTTACCTTTAAGCTTTGTTTCACGTAGATAACCACTTCCCTTCCATCCGAGGTACAGCGGTCAGGCTTGTCTGTTTTTGTTCTGCCCAAGGAACCCTTGCATATCCCCAAGAGGCTGGAATACACCTGCGTTTGGTCAAGCATGTGACTTGCAGAGCATTTGGGGTGCGGGGCTGTGCTGTCTCCTCAGCTGTTGAGCTCCACGAGCGAGCGGCCCCTCCAGATGCCCAGGGAAGTGGGTTGCACGCTCCAATCTGGAAAGTGCAATGCTTTCGCCCACCCGGCGAGGGATCCTGCTAACTCTCGTGAAACACCACTTGGCCAAATGAGGAGGAAAATCCTATTGCAGGCTCAAAAATGTAAAAAGAACATTCTGACTTAATAGAATATCCCCTCCGCTCACCCCCGGCTTTTAATTAATTTAGGAAGAAGCCCACAGAGAGGAGAGGGGAAGGTACCATCCTTTCCTGCACATCTGCATCTAAATTACTGGTGCTCCGGAGTGAGATGCCGGCAAGGAAGCCAAAGTGCCGAGAGAGGCACTCTGCTTCCTAAACACACAGCCTCCACTGGCTCCTGCCTCCCATCAGGTCACCTGTCAGCCGTAGGGGTCAACCTGTGGCTTGGCATGTATCTAGAGCAGATCTAGCAATGGGGTAACGTGTCTGTCTGGCCGGGCTGGGTTATTCAGACTTTGGTGGCTGGAAACAACAAAGGCTTACTTCCCATCCGTGTTCATGCCTGTCACAGGTCAGCAAGGGTGCAGGGTGGCAGGGAGGGGACATTCTGCTCATCGGATGTATTCAGGGGGACTTGGGACGACTGGGCAGCCAACATCTCCAGCACTGCTAGTTGCCATGCCGGAGGGAAGACAGCTCTCCGAAGGCTCTTCTGTTGGCCTCAGCACTCCGGCCCAGAGGCGACACATATCCCTTTCCTTCACGGTTCATTGCCCAGAACTACTCATGTGGCCTCCCAAAATATAGGTGTCCAGGCGCCTAGGGGACAAAGAAATGGAAATAATTGGTTAGAGCTTGGGATGACCACAGTGAGGTTAGCAGACCGGTGGGGGGTGACAGCTACTGAATGTCTGATTCAGAGAAACAAAGAGAAGCTATAGTCTATTCACTGTCAGATGAAATCAAGGACTATACTGAGCCACAGGACTGTGCTAGTGTCCGACTTGAATCTTGTCCACAAAAAGCTTCAGTCTAGTAAATTGGCAACCTAAGTAACTGTAGTCCAAGGTAGAAAGCGGTGCATGTAAGACAGGAGGTGTGGACTGTTCTTTTTTTTTTTTTTAATGTCCATTCATTTTTGAGAGAGAGACAGAGTGCAAGCGGGGGAGGAGCAGACAGAGAAGGAGACGCAGAATCCAAAGCAGCTCCAGGCTCTGAGCTGTCAGCACAGAGCCTGATGCAGGGCTTGAACCCACAAACCGTGAGATCATGACCTGAGCTGAAGTCGGATGGTTAACCAACTGAGCCACCCAGGCAGCCCAAGAGGTGTGGACTTCTGTGGCCACAGAAGTCCAAGAAAGAATATCACCTCTCGGCAGAATGACAGCTTCAAGAAGGAAGGGGCATCAGATGCAGAACTTTAAAGGATGGGGAGGATGTGGGGATGCAGGAGTTGTGAGGAGGGGACACGTTATAGGCTGAGGGGTCCATTCTGGGGAGGCCTAGAGCTGAGGAATTGCCGGGGCCACCCAGCACCCTGAATCCGGGGGAGACAAGGAAACCTGAGCACAGCCGCCCCTTTGCCGGTGCTGGTCAGCCCCGGCCAGATGCTAGAGCCTTCCTTCCCTACCCTGAGGCCCGCACCGCCAGGCTCTAGATCTGACCCCTGCCTCCTTCCTGCCTGGCACCTCCACAAAGCGGGCCTGCTGCCCCTCCTCCCTCCACCCCCGGCGTGGCCTCTGCTCCCAGACAGGCAGATCACCCCGAACTGCAAGAGTTGCCTGACTTCAAGAATCTAGCTAGCTGCCACACCTCATCCACTCTTCCAGCCTCATCTCCTCAGGCTGTTTTGCAGCTACAGGCCACTCGGGACTTCATGATTGGTACCATGTCACACCCCTCTTTGCAGTGAGCCCCATCCAGATGTCTGATACCCTAGTGCAGGGAACGGGACTGGCCTTCCCCACCCCCACCCCCGGCTTTCCTCTGGCTGGTTCCCAGCAGCACCAGCAGTAGAGCGGTGGCAAGCCCACAGGCAGAGACTGGAGGTGACGAGGCAGGTAGGCAGTGCAGCCGTCCACCCGAAGAGGGGGCGGAGGGCTGAGCTGGGCCTAGCCGCACACAGGGAGACAGGGGCACCTGTGTTGGACATGGGGAACACAGATGGACAGCATGGCGGGCCCGACAGCTGAGCGGGTCTGGAAGGCAGGGAGATGAAAGGGGGATTCAGGAGTGTTGAACGCTTTCACACTTGAGGCACCAGAAAAATGACGGAAGCTTCCACGGAAACTAGAAACTCCACAGAACAAGGGAAAACGATAAGTCTGGTCTGGGCCAACTGAATGTGCGATGCGGGAGGGACGTGCAGCAGACAGCCGTGGTTGGAGAGGCAGCTTGGCAGAGAGGTCGGGCGTGAGATGTTAATTTATAGAAAGCTTCCACACCGCAAGGAGATGGGAAGACAGGAGGCTGACACCGCCACGTGGGTACAAGCAGACAAGGAGAGTCTCAAAGAGGGCTTCTTTGGGAACCATCAAGATTTAGAGGTCAAGGAAAAAGAAAGCGATGTGAATAATAATGGAGGTGTGCCCAAGCAAAGCTGATCGATGAGGCTGTGGATGAACAAAAACAGATCAATCAAGGCCTCGTAAAATGATTCTTCACAAGTTAATCCAAAGTGCTTGAACAAAACTTGATCCGTAAGTCTATTTTCACCCACGTTTGCAGGGACCCACCTCTCTTTTCCCCCTTGCCTGTGCTTGCCCTGTGGGTGTGTGCATGCGTGGTAAAATATATTTATCTTCAGTTTACCCTTTTGATCACTTTTAAGTTCAGCGGCTTTAAGTGTATTCACACTGTTGTGCAAGCATCACCACCAGCCATCCACAGAACTTGGTTCATCCTGCAAAACTGAAGCTCTGTGTCCATTAAACAGCAGCTCCCCGTCCCCTCCTCCCCCAGCTGCTGGCAAGGCCCATTCTACTCTGTGTCTCCATGAACTTCACCACTCTAGGTAGCTCGTATAAGTGGAATCGTATCATCTTTCTCCTTTTGTGTCTGGCTTATTTCACTCAGCACAGTATCCTCAAGGTTCGTCCGTGTTGTAATATGTGTCAAGAATTTCCTTCCTTTTTAAGGCTGAATTATTATTCATTATATGGATATATATATCCATATATATATATATATTCCATTCCATATATATATATATTCCATTGTATGGATATACCACTGGTTTGGATATACCATTGGTTTTCCATTGATCTTTGGGTTGCTTCCAACCTTTTGGCTCTTGTGAGTAATGCTGCCATGAACATGGGGTTACAAACACCTCTTCCTGTCTCTGCTTCCAATTCTCTGGGGTACATACCTGGTTTGGAATTGTTTGACCATATGGTAATTCTATTTTTAATCTGTTGGGGAACTGCCTTACTCTTTTTCATAGTGGCTGCACCATGTTACATTCCAACAGGCAGTGCACAAAGGTTCCAACTTCTCTCCATCGTCACCAAC